CTAGATACTCTAAGCAGAGTAAAGGTTTACTCTGTTTGGTGAATAGCAATTCCTCCATTGCAGATTACAGAAAAATACTATTCAGTAAGTAGACCAAATCCCTATTCTGCTAAGAGAATCCAACCCATTGTGTTTGCTCAGGCTTGTGTATTAGTTATGCTCTGTGTTATATTACTATGATGTGTGTAATTTAATTTATTCTGTTGCTTTTTTCCAGATAACAGTATATTCCAATAAAGGTCTATAGATGTTCTAAGCATGTCTAAAACAATCTGCTACATTTCATTTGAAGTATTGGTAGACTCTATACCAATTTTTGCTTGTTTGTTCAACATAAATTATTCAATTTGAATATGACAAAATTGCTAGTTATTACCAGATGTACAAATGCATCATATACATATATTTCTGGTGTGTATGACAGGAGTGGAAAAGTTAAAAGGTGAGTTTACTTACCTTTTCTACCATGCGGCTTGCCTCTCCACCTGGATGAGATCATCAGTCTTGATAATCTCACCCAATCCAAGGCTTTCCCAAAGAAAAAAATGACACACTGTGGAAATCAGCATCTCCGCTATGGGAAGCGTTCAGAGTTTCCATGCTCTGCATGGAGATGCTGAACGTAGGTGCTGCATTGAAATAGCAATCACTTCTAGTGGCTGTCTGAATGACTTCCACTAGAGGTGTTACGAGACAGAATTGTAAACACTGCTTTTTCTCTGAAAAGGCAGTTTACATTGAAAAACCTGCAGGGGCACACTATAGACACCAGAACCACTACATTAAGCTGCCGATTGAGAAAGCCCAAGGAGGGTGAAATGCGTCTTGGCATAGGATAGAGCAGGGGTGGGCAATCTGCGGCCCTCCAGATGTTTTGGACTACACCTCCTATAATGCTCTTAGGGCCATAATGCTAGCAAAGCATCAAGGGAGATGTAGTCCAAAACATCTGGAGGGCCACAGATTGCCCACCCCTGGGATAGAGGATTTTAGACTGGTAGTTTTATACACTCTTCTTTTATTGTTGATTGTATTTATTTTATTATTTGTTAGATTTTATTTATTTGTTAGATTTTGTCCAATAAATAGTTTATTTTTGAATGATGTGAAATTGTTAATCTATTGTATACCATAATACTACATCTAGATTCTGTATATTTCAGTTTTTTCCAATCCCAAACTGAGAAAAACTTTGGAAAGTTGGAAAAATAAAGGTCTGGTTGCCTCCTGAAAAGTGCACAAAAGTCTACTGTTTTGAGCTATTATCTGAAAAAAAGACTCTATAAAATGGGAGTTTAGATACTATATACATAGTTGGGGTCCATGGTTAATCAGTATTAATCAGTATTACACTATATATTTATTTTTTCATGCTAATATCAGCCAATTATGTTGTATGGAGGGGTAAGTGTTCATACATTCTATAGCGCTGCACTTTCACTCAGGTGTTTTAGGTGGTGGGTCGTATTTTTAGTTTACTTTGTTAGAAGGTTTTTTGGAGTGCCCATTTGAGTGTTTTTCAACCTTGCTATTACATTTTTGTTTGGATTATATCTGATGACTATATTGTCCCTTTAAGTCCATGTGTACACGTAAGTTGGGAAGGAAGCAATTGTGTTGTTAAAGTAGGTAACAGTGGTACATCATTATTTTTAAGTAAGTAAAGAAAAGCAGAAATAGAGGCTGACCATCGACAAAACATCTGACATGACATTTTCAGAATAAAGAGAATTGTATGCACACAAACAGAATGGAATGGAATTTAGAAAATGAATTGCAGCTGAACTTTCCATATGTATGCCAGTCTTGTTTATTCACTTGGAAAAAGTGATTCATTGAACAGATATAACCCATGTCCTAAATGTAAAAGGTGTCTTGTCAAACTAGCTGCTTGATTCATCTCGATTATTTTTATAACACATGACCCCAGCAGGCTAACAAAGAAAAAGCCGGATGGAAGCTTTGGTAACCTTTGGAAGTACTTGTATTGTGTGCATCCATAATTTTCAAAGTGCGGTTGATAATGTGTAGGTATCGGTAAAATATTTTAGTCACTAATAAAATATATCATTTCCTAGGAAAAAACAAAGGGATTAGTCATGTGGGAAACAACATGAGTACAACATGAAAGAAAAAAAAGAAGTACAACTTGTATTGCATCAAATTAAACACAATACTTCAACAGAATTTTAGTAATTCAGGGTGATGAGTCAAATTATAAATTTCATTAGGAAAATTGAGAACACTTAAATACTGTGTTAAAGATGCTCAGAAGTCTTGCACCATGGTTGACTAAGGTCCAGTAATATAGTGTTTGGAAGAGTTTTTCCCATTGAAAGTGAGTAATATAATTTTTTTTTATCCAAACATAGACATTTGTATCTATTTGCGATCAGTACATTCAATACTTCAAACGTTGTATGAAAATTGCACGTTCGGTTAATCAACATGCTTAATAAAAAAAAAAAATCAATAGAGACTTCTAGGTAACCTTCTTTTGTGCATACTAAACTATCTATTGACAAGATACAATTAAAGATGAATAGACCAATAGCATATAAAACACAAGGTAAACGTCTTTCTGAGCTAGTGCTTATATACTTGATTCAGTTTGGTAGATTGTGCTTGCCATCTTAAAAGTAAATGGTTTTCTTGGCATGTTTATTCTAAATGCACTGGAACAGAAGCTTAAGGTACAGAGCCATTGGAGAACATGCTTATACCAACCATTTCATTGTGGAGACTATGCCTTAAAAACAAATGGAGTTCTAAATGTGTGTGTGTTTCAGTAAAATTGTCTAGAATGACAGTCAACTTTAGCTGAGATTGTAGAGATGGTGGACTGCCACATTAATCTAATGGTGTGTTTCTTCTACAAGTGGAAGTGAAAAGTGACATTCTTTGGATGAAAGAAGACATTTCTTTGTAAAGATTCTGACAATTACCTTAAATGAAAGTGACCCAACCATTGGAAATCATGACATTCCTGGTTGTCAACATTGTGCAACTTGTCCCAGAGTATTAACTTTTTTTTTACCACGATTGTCTTGGCCTTACTTGCATTCTAGATAATCCTTTAACAAGAACAACCGTTTGTAAGTTTGCAACTTTAACATTGACTGAAAACAAACTATATTGTTATGGGTAACCACATAATATGTAGTGGCTTGGGGGGATTTTTTTTTGTATCAATATCTATAGTTTTTCGCTTTTTATATTTTTGTAAAAATGCGTTCTTTATATGTATGTTCAGTATTACATATTGGTTGGTAAGAGGAGTTGTGGAGGGCTTTCCAAGTTCAAATGTTGGTCAGACACAGGGCCGGCCTTTGGGGTGTGCGAGCTGTGCGGCCGCACAGGGCGCCATGGCAACAGGGGCGCCGGGCGGCCGACACAGCTCGCAGTCGCTCTGTCACTGGCCGGCCCGAGATTGTGTGAGAGCTGAGCCGCGGTCAGTTTCCGGAGCGTGGAGGAGGAGCTTGGGGCGCAGGCGCAGCGTCCAAGTGCTGCACCTTCACAGAGAGCCGCAGAGGGATCCGCTCCATGTGTGAGGGCGGCGACCGGTGCTCTGCAGACAGGGAGGGAGCAGCAGCCTTCAAAGTAAGTACCTTATTTATTTTTAAGCCAAACATCTTTCATTAAATGGGGCAGGGTCTAATTAAGGGGGGCAGGGGACTAGATAAGAGTGGCACTGGGTCTAATTAAGGGGGCAGGGGACTAGATAAGGGTGACACTGGGTCTAATTAAGGGGGGCAGGGGACTAGATAAGGGTGACACTGGGTCTAATTAAGGGGGGCAGGGGACTAGATAAGGGTGGCACTGGGTCTAATTAAGGGGGCAGGGGACTGGATATGGGTGACACTGGGTCTAATTAAGGGGGGCAGGGGACTGGCTATGGGTGACACTGGGTCTAATTAAGGGGGGCAGGGGACTGGGACTGGCTATGGGTGACACTGGGTCTAATTAAGGGGGGCAGGGGACTGGGACTGGCTATGGGTGACACTGGGTCTAATTAAGGGGGGCAGGGGACTGGGACTGGCTATGGGTGACACTGGGTCTAATTAAGGGGGGCAGGGGACTGGGACTGGCTATGGGTGACACTGGGTCTAATTAAGGGGGGCAGGGGACTGGGACTGGCTATGGGTGACACTGGGTCTAATTAAGGGGGGCAGGGGACTGGGACTGGCTATGGGTGACACTGGGTCTAATTAAGGGGGGCAGGGGACTGGGCATGGATGACAGGGTATGATTAAGGGGGGCAGGGGTTTGATTAAGGGAGGCAGGGTCTGATTAAGGGGTGCAAAGGGTTGATGAAGGGGTGCAGCCTGGGGATTGATGAAGGGGACAGGGTCTGATGAATAGAGGCAGTATCTGATGAAGGGGGCAGGGGTTTTATTGAAGAAGTGGCCAAGGGCTTTGGTGAAGGGGGTGGAAGGCATATTGTGTGCCTCAAATTGTCTAGAGGGGGCCAAACAAAGACGTGGGTTTAAGAAATGAGGGAGAGGCTATACATGCTTAGTGTTGTAAAATGGTTAAATATAGTGTACTGACAACATTGCTCTTGTTTCTACAATACATAAACTGACTTTGTGTATTATACTATTAAAGTGGCACTGTCACTGTCTGGGAATTTGCCAAATGCGCAAAGACCCCCGACAGTGACATTGATGCTGATCTATAGTTGATCTATATCTTCACTACTGTGTTAGCATGTGATTTTTATGTTCAGTTGTTCTACACATGTAAAGTTATGTTTCCATGTGTTATTTAATCTATACCTGGAAATACAAGGTTTGGATGTCTTATTCATTTGATGAATACCTGCAATGCTTATTTATTTATCTATACTTTATTTGGCGCAAATGTTGGCGTACTACATTTAGGAAATTCATATTATCTGTACACTGCTGCTGCGAATCTTGTATTTCTTTTGTATCTATACTTAAAAGGGCCTCTCTTTTAAATATATATATTTTTTTATTGTATCGTGTAGCAGCATTATGGGTCCCAAAAAACTGTCAGGTGCTCAGAATCAGAAACGAAGGGCCCTTATGGATTTGGAGGACCAGAAGAGTGCTGGAGTAATCAAAAAATATTTTGGAACACCAACACCTAGTGGTTTACAAACCTCAGAAGAAAAAGATGAAGAAAGCTGCAGTAGCCAAAGTGATGTGCATCTTAAGCTCAGTGAGCCTTCAACATCTAAAACATCTTTGGAAGAGGATTCTAATACACCTTCTGGCTCGGTGGCTGTTGATGAAACAATAAGCACATGTGAAAACTCAAGCTTCACAGATCCCGCTTTGTGGCCAAAATTGATTTCTAAGAATATTGATAGTATTTTAGATGTTGGTCCTGTACAGGTACAAGATGTTGATTTTAAAAAAGATGCTTATAATCGGCACTTTTCTTCAGCTTTCTACAAAAGAAAATTAGACAGTGGTGAAGAACAAACACGGCGATGGTTGGTATACTCCTCATCTGCCAATAAAGTATTCTGTTTCTCTTGTAAATTATTTGATAAGAATCCTAAAACATCGCTTGCCCTTGGAGGATCAGATGACTGGACACATATGTCAAATATTTTGAAATCGCATGAAACCTCCAGTGGTCATTTTACAGCCCAGCAGATGTGGACTGAAACACAACTGAGACGGAAATCAAAACACGCGATTGACCAAAACTATCAAAATCTCATGAGAGGTGAAAGGCAACACTGGAGATCTGTGATGGAGAGGATGTTAAATATTGTCCAGTTTTTAGCAGAGCGTAATCTGGCCTTCAGAGGCTCTTCAGATCGACTTTTTACAACCAATAATGGAAATTTTTTTAGGTCTCGTGGAACTATTAGGAAAATATGACAGTGTGATGGCGGAACACTTACGCAGGGTGGTATCAAAAGAAACTGCAGACCACTACTGCGGAAAAATAATTCAAAATGAAATAATAAATCTTATGGCTAAACAGGTAATTGAGGACATTTTACAACGCTGCAGAAATGCAAAATATTTCTCAATTATCCTTGATTGCACTCCAGATATTAGCCGTAAGGAGCTGATGTATTTTACAATTTGATTTTTGGAAGACATTTCTGGAAATTTTCAATCAAAGGAATATTTCCTTGGTTTCAAAAAAGTAGAGGATACAACTAGAAAATGATTAAGTGATTTCCTCCATGAATTTCTTTCAGGAAAAAATTTGGACATTGATAATTGTCATGGACAAGGTTATGACAATGGAGCCAATATGGCAGGAAAAAACAATGGAGTTCAGTCCAAAATTTTAAACATAAACCCAAGAACAGTATTTGTACCGTGTGGCTGTCATTGTCTTAATCTTGTCATTGGAGATGCAGTACGCTCCTGCAAGGAATCAATGAAACAATTTGGTATCATTCAGCGCCTTTATGTTCTATTCTCAGGATCCGTAAAGAGATGGAAAAGTTTGTCTGACCACGTTTCTGGCAGGGCCAGAATGGCCCACTGGGATACCGTGAAATTTCCCGGTGGGCCGTCGGCACCTGGGGTCGGTCAGACACCTGGGTCTGCTAGCGGCCGCTGGTGGAGCTGTGCTGTCTCTGCTCCCCAGCACGCAGCTTAATGAGACCGGGGCCGGAATATGACATCATATTCCGGCCCCGGTCTCATTCAGCAGCGTGTGAGGGCGGGAGAGCAGAGCCAGCGCAGCTCCCCCAGCGACCGCCAGCAGACCTCCCCCAGCGGCCGCCAGCAGACCTCCCCCAGCGGCCACAAGCACAGGTCCCCCAGCACCTACAGAGTGTGGAGGCCCTGAATGTAGGTGCACTGACACAGGAAGCACCTCTAGTGACCGTCTGAGTGACTGTCACTAGCGGTGTCACTTTGAAGCAATGTAAACACTGCCTTTTCTCTGAAAAGTCAGTGTTTATGTTGAAAAGCCTGTAGGGACATGCTATAGACACCAGTACCACTACATTAAGCTGTGTATGTGCGTCTGCTAGTGAGTGAGCTTGCTTGCATGTGTGTGCCTGCTAGTGAGTGAGCTTGTGCTTTTATGTCAATGAGCTGATATATATCAGTGAGATTGTTTGTCTATGAGGCTGTGTATCAATGAGCTTGTGTGTGTCATTGAGATGTCAGTGAGATTGCCTGTGTCTGCATGTGAGTATGCTTAATGTATAATTAAATGTTTTACTCTGAAAGGACCAATATTTTATATTAGAAAATGCAATATATATATGTATATATATATATTACTCAATCATCTGTCATGGCAAGACATAGCCTTACATATTACACCTGACAATATACGGCGCAGTGACTTATGGGGCTGGCATAAAATTTTTTTCCAGGGTTGCTCTGTATCCCCAGTCCGGCCCTGGTTTCTGGCCTCACTTTAAAGCCTTTGTGCACCTCGCGGTGGGAATGCCGTATAAATTGTCTAAAACCACTAAGACATAATTTCAGTGAAATACAAAAAGCACTGATTGTTTTGTCTGATGAAACCCACACTGAACCGAACATTTGTCATAAGACTAACACACTATCTCAGCAGATTGTGGAGTTCAAATTTATTGTCACAAATGTCACAATTTTTTTATAAATTTCAGAGAGTCTGGATTTAAAAAGCTCCTTCCAGCTTGCAAAGGAACTAGCAGCAAAAGTGAATGTGGAGCCTGTTTTTAAAAAGCCTTCTCATATTCACAGAAAAAAAAAGCCTTGTTTGATTACGAAAGCCAAGATGAACCTTTAACCGATCCCACGAAGAAATTTAAGATTGATTTTTTTTTATGTTTTGGTTGATACTGCTGCTAAATCTTTGGAGGAGCGTTTTTCTCAAATGGAACAACACAACAAAGTATGGAGATTTCTATACAATATGAGACATCTTCCAGCAAGAGAAAACTTAAGGGACTGTTGCTTGCAGTTACAGAAGGCATTAGAGAAGAGCAGACAATCGGCCATTAATGGTCTAGATCTTTCAGAGGAGCTTTGGCATATTCAAAGCCTACCACCTCAAGATGCCACAGCACCCCGCCATATACTCAATTTTATAGTGAGAAATGGGCTGACTGACACATTTCCAAACATTTGGATAGCGTTTCGGATTCTATTAACAATTCCTGTTTCTGTGGCGTCAGGAGAATGCAGCTGTTACAAGTTAAAGCTCATTAAAACATATCTGAGATCCTCAATGACTGATGACAGACTAACCTCTTTATCAGTATTATCAATTGAAAGCGATGTATTGAAGACATTGGACATGAACAACATGATTGATGAGTTTGCAAAGACAAAAGCACGTAAGGTTGTATTTTCAGCTTCAGATTAATATTACTTGTCAGGAGGTGTATATTTTGGTTCCCAGTGTTCCCAGTTATTATTGCATTTGCACATTATATTATCTCTAAAAACCAATGTTAAAAAGATTGCAGTTAGCTGTTTTTTTTCTGCATTTAATGTATTTAATATACATTATTGTTACCAGTCAATCCAGTTATTTATTATTGTACTTGTTTGCTCTTGCATTTAAATTATCTGTAATTAAAAAAACTGTTTGTTACAAAGATTGTTTTCCTCTTTGTGTATGTTTAGGTGACGGGAGGGGGGAAGAGGAGGGGGCACAAGATTAGCTCGCACAGGATGCTTGAACACCTAAGGCAACAGCATACACGGAGAGACACAACCAAGTGGCTGGGTTTGTTTACTGAAACATCTGCGCAGAATATGGATTGGACCTGCCCAAGTCCAGATAGGAGATACCACACGGGTAGTTGAGAATGACAAAGCTAAGATCCTATGGGACTTCAAGATCCAGACAGACAAGCAAGTGCTGGCCAACTAACCCGACATCGTGGTCGTAGACAAGGAACGAAAGACTGCAGTCGTGGTGAATGTGGCAATACCCAGTGACTATAACATCAGGAAGAAGGAACATGAGAAGGTAGAGAAATACCAAGGACTGAAAGAAGAACTAGAAATGATGTGAAAAAGGAAGGCAGTAGTAGCCCCAGTTGTGATAGGAGCACTAGGTTCTGTGACTCCGAAGTTGGGGGAGTGGCTTCAACAGATTCCAGGTGGGACATCTGAGATCGCTGTCCATAAAAGTACAGTTCTAGGAACAGCTAAGATACTGTGCAGAACTCTTAAACTCCCAGGCCTCTGGTAGAGGATCTGACAATGAGAAATAAACATACCACCATAGTTGGCACTATATTCGAAAGATGGATTCTCTTGACCAGTTTGCGGAGGATAGGATATCCGACAGTGAGCTGCTTGCACGAAGAGCAGATGATGCGGCTGCACCCCTGACAGAATGAGCACCAAATGATTCGTCAATTCCCGCTTGAGTGAGCAGCCATCTTATCCAGCGTGAAATCGTGGGAGAAGAGACCGGTTTGTGAGGTCTGACATAGGAAGCAAAAAGAAGCCCTGGAGGGGAATGTAGAGAGGTTGTGCTCTCAATGTAACAACAGGTACACAGGGCAACACAGAGGGACGGTCTGTCCGGAAAGTATGGGTAAAAAAATGATGAGGAATTAGTCTTAGTACGTCTGGTAATAGTAAATCTGACTATGTCTGGTGCGAAGGCCAAAGCATGAAAGTCGAAGGCCTGAACATCTGAAACTCTGCGGAAAGTCACCAGACACAAAAGCAGGGCCAATTTAGTGGAAAGTTGGCGTAGGGATAATGCCTCATTAGAAGGCCAGGATTCCAACAGAGTAAAAACTTGAGAAACATCCCAGGAATTAGAATATCTGGCAGTAGGGGGTCTTGTCAAACGGATGCCCAGTAGAAGTCTGCACACGGAAGGATGCTTCCCTACTAATGAATTATCAATAGTATAATGGGCCGCCAAAATGGCAGATTGAAAAATATTAATTGATCGATAGGATTTGCCTTGATCAAAGAGAGAGGAAAATTTTTTTAAAATGAATGGAAGAGGTGTTGACATGGGATCAATATCCCTATTCAGACACCAACTGACCGAAATCTGCCATGCGGAAAGATAGGTTCATCTGGTTCCCGGGGATCATGACTCCCATAGAAGTGTTTGAGCTGTACATGAAAGTCCTGCAACATGCCAGGATCCACTGAAACTGTCCAAGCTACAATGTGAAGATGGCCCTGTAGGGCGAGTGGATGGAAATCGCCCCCTGGGAAGACATGGATGGATCAAGGTAGCAGGATGGGATAATCCGCAGATAGTTCCAGAAGAGTGGGGAACCAAGTCTGGGCTCTCCATAATGGCAACAAAACTCTTAATGAGCAGGCAGGTTTGGAACAATCCGTAAGAGCTATAGAAAAAAAGCATTGAAAGTCATGTTTCAGTGTTTGCAGATGACACAAAACTCTGTAAAGTAATACAATGTGAGCAGGATATTACTGCAAAGGGATTTAGATAGACTGAGGGACTGGGCACTCAAATGGCAGATTAAATTTAATGTAGAAAAATGCAAAGTTATGCATTTCGGCGTAAAGAATGCACAAGCAACTTATACCCTTAATCGAAGCAAATTAGGGATAACAACATACAAGAAGGACTTGGAAATTGTTATAGAAACATATAGAAACATAGAATGTGACGGCAGATAAGAACCATTCGGACCATCTAGTCTGAGATTAAAACATGGAACCAGGCACTCTGTTAAAGAGCCTTAGAGCACGACCGAGACCATGTCAACACTTTGCCACCAGGCGGCCCTAAGTGCATGGGCCACCCAATGGGCCTCCTAAGCATTCAGGCCCTGGTGCAGCCACACAGGCTGCACCAGCAGTAGTTCCACCACTGCTCATCCCTTAAATTTTAAATTTCCCTTGAATTCACTTAGAATTTTTAATACTGCTGATTTAATTTTACCCTAATGGTTACTTGTTTCCTA